AAGAAATATAGTGATCTTTTTCAAGTTTTAATTATGAAATTAATTAAATGTTTACAATTTATACAATTTAAAATTTTAAAGTATGAATCATTAGAAATAAAATTTATATTGTATAAATTTACAGGGACTTTATTTAATCTCTGAAACCATCTACACACAAAATATGTTTATGCTACAACTCTATAGCTGGGGAACTTAGACTTCGGATAGCTCAAGTAACTTGCCCAAAGTCACAGAGCCAGAAAGAGATGAGGGAAGGTCACCACTTGGTACAATTCCTGGCGACACCATGTATAACGTAGCCCGTGTAAATGAGGCCCCCTGCCCTGTAGTGCATGGAATTTGAATTCAGTTCTGATTAACTTTATTCCAAAGATCCCTGTTGTGTGAATTAGGAAAAGATTCCCTTTCTTCTAGCAGGTGGAGCACTCACCAGGGCACAGCGCTCGCCAAGAAGCCTGCAAGCTCCCCTTCACTCCCAAGCTGGTTCTCCTCTGCAGGGCACATACCTAGGCTGGAGGTTCAATCCCCAGTTGGGGCACATACCAGAGGCAACCGATCAATGACTCTCTCTCTCTCAAAATCAATAAACAAATTCTCGGGTGAAGATTTAAAACAACAGTTTTATGTGTGTGTAATTTTTGTTAAAAATCATACTTATTGTAAATACTATATAAATATCGGTGTCCCTAAAAATGTATACACACACTTTGAATAATTATAAAGGCAGTGTTTATTAAAATACATTTCATTTTCAAAATTGAGCTATCAACTGTTAAAGTGTGTATACATTTTTGGGGGCACCTTATATAATTTATATATAAGCGCTGCAGTTAAGTTCACCAATTCAACATACCCAAATATGAATTTTCTTTTTTTGTGTCTCATTTCAACTTCTTGCTTTGTTTTACACATCATTTTATTTGGACAAAGAGGGCAAATTAAAAAATCTTAGAAATAGCAATGTTAGGCAGTAGTTGCTTCACGTTTACTTTCTCACTAATAGGTATTTTCATAAATAGTGAGCTAGTCACTGCCGGGCAGAACTCTGCAGCAGAGGACAGACTACCAGAGAGCGCACTTGGCCTCCAGTGGCCCTTAACAAGAGGTAGAGGCAGTTTCAACTTTATGCCTGAATCTCCACAGCTGAAATGTGAGGGACATTGACTAGGAGTGAGTAGGTTCTAAACAAGAATATGTGAAATAAGGCTTGTAAACATTAAGAGTTAGTTGGGAAGTCACTATCCATCGCTACACATATGTTTTGTGAGATAACGATAAATAACTAACTGCATATGTAAAAGAAAAACCATAGCCTGAGGAATCTATTTGATTCTCATGGAGATAGTGCCCATTGTTTTAAAGTGATGATAACAGCTGCCATGTGTATAATGATTTACAGCCGACACAACAATGTTAACTTGATGACTGCGTGTTTCTGACAGCCCTAAGGAAGTAGGCTGAGAGGTCCTTCCGTGTCCGAGATGGAGAAACTGAAACCCACACTCAAGAGCTCATGATGCCTACACGGAGCGGAAGTGCTTCTCTCCCTTATTCTGCATGGCAAGGGGGAGAGGACAGGCTGCCGTTTAAAGCCTTCTGCCTATTACTGAGGTGCCAGGGAGTATTTTATCATTGGTTTCTAGGAATTCAATTTTTAGTTCAAGTTGAATTCATAGAAATACAAGAAATGGCAACCTTAAAGTGGCATTTTTGGGAGAAACTTCAGAAAATCCTTTCAACAGTAGAATCAACCTACTCACATACATGGTCTTGGAAGTTGTGCTTTTACTCAGGGCTCTATAATGTTTGCTTTTCCTTTCCACAGGTTATTTTGGAAGTGGTTCACAATGCCAGCATTCTAGTGCACAGGGTCACCACCCTCTTTTGTCCTCTGTGCCTTTCAGGCGAACTGATCAGTTGGGTGGCGTTGGATCACGAGCATCAGGTGCACCATCAGGTGACTGTCCTAGTGACCGACCATGGCTCCCCGCCACGAAACGCCAGCATGGTGGTTTATGTCGCAGTTACTGACATCAATGATAACAGGCCGTATTTCCCACAGTGTCTCCCTGGAAAGGAATTACACATCAAGGTTTGTGGGGTTGAAATAGCCTTGCAATGGACTTGTAGTATTCTTAGTTATTTGAGCACCATCTTGTGGCAAAAAGCAAGAATTTATCAAATCAGTCATGGTCTGGCAATGCATTCTTTTCTAGAAGACCTAGAAATTGTGCATATGTCCAAAAAAAAAAAATCTCATCAAAAAATAAAATGGTTGTATGTGCAGTTTGAGATCTCATATCCAGTTGTTTTAGGATTAATGTAGTTCTGCCTCTTGTATAAAACAATGATTCCCCATTATCAGCAATGCTCAGACAAGGATTGTTTTTCTAGTAATTTGCATGCATCTCTTTGTGCAGAGCTCCTTATGAGTGACTGATACACATCTCTAAGATGGTTCATTAGAGATAGGGGAATAATCTGTAGCTCTAAAGTGGAGAGACACATATCCAGAGATTATAAAAGCTGATCTATTGGGGGGGGGCACATGCAAGAACTTCTAATTATACTTATATTATCTCATCATTTTTTACTCCTATGTTTTTGTATATTTTACAATGTACATAATAAATTAACATATTAGTTTACACACACAATTAATAAGTATATCTTGGAGGTACTCAGATTTTTTAAAGAAATGAATAGGTTGTATGAATAAAAAGTTTGGAACCTGTAACTCCCAAATAATTAAATTGGACATTCAAATTGTGCTCAGATATGCATAGGGTATTTAGGAAGCTAATAACTTTAAACTCACCTTCCAAGTCCTTATTTAAAGAAAATTTTACCAAAGCTAAATGTTTTGTCATTATGATTTTAGTCATGCCATTAGAATATCCCGTGGTTTTCTTGCACAGTAAGACTTTTAAATATGGAGTTCAACTCCACATGTTGATTTCAATAGTCTAGGAAAGTTTCTGTTAATTATCTCTCCCGTGTGAGGTATGTTTCCTGAAATAAAGATTTATGTTTATCTTTAGCATGTTTTCGACCTTAACAACAACCTTTTAAAAAACGTCCTGAGAAGGTGATGAATGAAAAGATGCTAGAATCCTTAAAATACACTTAAAATCCAAGATTGTTTAGTTATTTTGATTTCCTTCTCCACCCTCCTCAGAATGAGTTGAAAAGCTGTAGATAATTTGTTCCAATTGAGTAAAATATTTAAATTATAATGTGGATTCTTTTCATGGGTTTACACCCATATAATTTTTATATGGTAGACACTAGAATTACATGTGAATTTTAAAATAGTTTTTTAAATGCTTAGCAGTAGTGTGTGCTTTCACTTAAAGTTCATTGCTTTTTATTTAAAAATTTTACTGAGAAATTTGTAAGCCGTTTGTTTTATTGACAGGTTTTGGAAGGTCAGCCAGTAAATATGTTGGTGACAACTGTGTTTGCAAAGGATTTTGATGAAGGAAACAATGCAGAAGTTATATATTCAGTATCTTCAGGTAAATGTCACTACCCATAAAGGATTATGAGCGTTTAGAATTTCCTCTTTCATTTATCAACTATCTACGTCCTTCTGTGGACATAGTTAACATTGAATATAACACCAAATTACAAACAAAATACATTTGTTATGGTCCCACAGTGATGGCGAACCTATGACACGCATGTCAGAGGTGACACGAACTCATTTTTTTGGTTGATTTTTCTTTGTTAAGTTGCATTTAAATATATAAAATAAATATCAAAAATATAAGTCTTTGTTTTACTATGGTTGCGAATATAAAAAAATTTCTATATGTGACACGGCACCAGAGTTAAGTTAGGGTTTTTCAAAATGCTGACATGCCGAGCTCAAAAGGTTCACCATCACTGGTCTAGAATCACCTTTATATTAAAAAAATAATAGAAAAGTTTAGTGACAAGTAATAGTAGTTTTTTTGTGCCCTAAATAGAAACCAACCCACCAATCATCCACCTTAAATGAATAATTTTCAATAAATGTGATGTGCAAATCAATTTTTATTGAAAGGAAAGTAGCAATTAGTGGATAACAAGTGGTATTAATATAAAGAAATATGACTTGAATAATAAGATCCATGAATCTCTATGAAGACTAAATATTCTTACGGTTAAAGTAAATCACCCCTAGAAAATGTTCTGTTTCCTCTGTATATTTTTAGTGCTATTTTTTTATGTTCATTTTCTCACAGAGCTTAAGGCAAAAAACATCTTCAAAATGCTCAATCACAGATGTATTTGGATTAGTTAATTCTTATTTCTGCATTGTCAGTTAACATTAATTTCCTAATTTTTGTGTATGTATAGAAGATAGATCTGATCACTTCAAGATTGATGCCAACAGTGGTGAGATAAGAACAACCACAGTGCTTTTGTATGATTATAGACCTTCCTACAGGATGACTGTTATTGCCAGTGACCAGGGAGTGCCTCCTCTTCAAGGACAGGCAGTTATTAACATTCAGGTAATGTTCTGGCATCGCCATAACATGTAGAAGGGTGTTTTAAGGTTCTGTTTGATTTTTATACAACTTTATAGAGTGAAGATACATTCAATATATGAATACTGCTTTTAGAGAGCACTGAAGATGTATGTGTGCCTTTTTATTATCACTAGAGAAATTACTAGCCTCAAATAACTTTTTGTTTGAACTTTGCACAATTCCTGACAAGATATGTACCTTCATCTTGTACAGGCATTAATGTTGCTTTATTTTATTAAACAAAAAATGTCTTTACTTTTTTCTAATTGCAAAGACTTGGTAAATTTGCAGAAGTAACTTATATGTAAACAAATGGCCAAATAATAAATCACATTGCTTTTTGTAATTTTTAAATTTAGAAAAGTCACTTGGGATCCATATTCTAAGGCTTTACTTTAATCAGAATGTGAAAACAAATTGTGGGAAGTCTTCTTAGTAGGAAAAAATTACACCACTGAGTCAAAGATAAGATAACTGTGCATGGCTATTTTTCTTTTCTCATGCACATGATAATCTGTAACATTGATACTGGTATGTATAAAAAATAAGAACATATACCCCAAAGAATTCTTTATGGATTGCAGATATATATTTAGGAGAAAATTATATGTCAAAATTCCTCAAGTCTCTTGACAAATGGGAAGTGGAAATCTACTTTCTCATCTCCAAGATATTATGCAATTTTCAATCATCAGAGGCATACTGGAATCTATAATAATTAGGCTGGACGTCATTCCGGATGTCATTCCAACATCCTTCCGGATGAAGCCGGGGCCAGAGGGAAGCCCGGGTCCTGGCTGCCTGCTGGCGGCCAGAGTAAAGCCCAGGTCCTGAGTGCCTGCCAGCAGCCAGAGCAAAGCCCGGTTCCCAGGTGCCAGAGGAAAGCCAGTGCCAGGGGAAGGAAGGCCTACTCTTGCACGAATTTCTTGCATCTGGCCTCTAGTTATGTAATAAAAAATAATGCCACCAATTACCCTATGTATTTCACACAGATAGAGGGGATTAGTTTCCAAAGTAACATCATCACATATACTGATTCAACTGTTTAAAAAAAATACTCCAGATTAATAGCTCCTTTTAATTCTTATTTCAGGTGATACCACTATCCAAAGGGAGAGCTGCCATTTCTCAGAATATTAGACATTTAGTTATACCAGAAAACTTGAAGCCTGCAAAAATAATGAGCTTGATAAAGTCACCTGATCACTTTCAACAACACCAGGATGGAAAGCTACATTTTAGTATCGCTGCAGATGATAAGGATGGCCCCTTTGAAATCGACAGCTCAACGGGGGACTTGTTCCTTTCTAAGGAACTTGATTATGAAATGACATCACATTATCTTTTCAGGGTGGTTACTAAAGATCACAGCCAAACTCCTCCCTTGCATAGCACAGTCTTCCTTAGCATTGATGTGGAAGACCAGAATGACCATTCCCCATCTTTCCAAGAAGAGTTCCTTGTGATAAGCGTAGAAGAGAATGTCCCTGTAGGAACTCTGGTGCACGTCTTCCATGCCAAAGATGGAGATGGCAGTTTTTTGAACAGTAGAATACAATACTTCATTGAATCCCACCACCCTGGAATCAATCCATTTCTCATCCACCCCTCATTTGGCACATTGGTCACTGCATCCCCCCTCGACAGAGAGAGCGTTCCTACTGTTGTCCTGACAGTGACTGCATCCGATCAGGCTGTGAATGTGACAGACCGGCGACTGAGATCGCTGATGGCCAAGGTAGTGATTTTGGATGTAAATGACCACAGCCCCACTTTTATGTCTTTCCCCATCGCTCATGTCAAAGAGGATGCCACAGTGGGCTCCTTGGTGCACCACGTAACTGCTCACGATCCAGATGAAGGAAGGAATGGAAGAGTAACATACAGCATTCTTTCAGGAAATGAAAACATGGCCTTTATGCTAGATGAGTCATCAGGTATTTGTCACTGTCAATTAAAGCCTCTGATCACTTGCTTACGTTGATCCTTTTCAGTTTCCTCTGTTAAGATGATGGTTCCAAATGAATGGGCTTTAAAGAAATGTTACTTAATTTTGTGTTTAACTTCTATACGTGATAGGTACAGAGGTTGTATTCAGAGCACCAACTGTAATTGGCCCGTTCGTTGATATTGACTATGACTTATAACTAGCTTACATTCCATGAGATGAATCTACAGTAGCAGCAGACTTCTTTGCTCCCAGTGTGGGTAGCCACAGAGTTGGAGATAGTGCCAAAAGTACAAAAAGGTAGAATATGACTAACCAACAGCATTATTCAAAGGCTTTACTATGGAAATTTATCTTTAAGATCATACATCATACAAACATGCTTTTGTAAATAGTTGGAATTTATTTATTTATTTAGTAGAGGCCCAGTGCACGAAATTTGTGCATGGGTAGGGTCCCTAGGCCTGGCAGGCGATCAGGGGATCAGGGCCAATCAGGTTCCCCACCTCCCTGCCTTCCTGCCACCTCCTTCCCTCACTCTCTCAGTGCCCCTGCTGGTCGTCCACCATGTTCCATGCCACCCCCTGGTGGTCAGTGCACGTCATAGTGAGAGATCAAACTCCCATTCTCCCAGTCTCCCGAGGGGACACTTTGCATATTAGCCTTTTATATATATATATAGATTTTAAAGAGAGCAACATTGATTTGTTGTTTCACTTATTTATGCATTCATCGGTTGATTTTTGTATGTGCCCTGACTGGGGATCAAACCTGCAACCTTGGCATATTAGGACGATGCTCTAACCAACTGAGTATCTGATCAGGATAGAAATAATGTACTTTTAAATAGTTGCATTGATTTGGGTATAAGACCCTTACTTCTCATGTCAAGTGTACCATTTTTTTTTTCCAGAAGCATTTATTCACTGTCAAGTTCTCTGTAGAAATGTCACTAACTGCTACTTCATTTGTCTTGTTCTTATGACATTGCCAATTAACATCTACTAAAATTTCTGATGTTGTGTGATGTATGAAGTGTCATTCTTATAAAACTGGAAATGAACTTCTCATGGTCTGATTTCCAGGAGATACTGAGGAGATGGATTACCATCTCAACCTCTAAAAATAGTCATTTCTGCATGAGCCTTAGAAAAAAACATTTCAGATGTATGCCAATTGGCCCCACCATTAATAAGACCATAATTTGGAATGGGACTGAATGTGTAGGATTTGGAAGTCATGGTTATAGTTTGGCTATATACTGCTGAAAAATTTTTATCAAAATATTTATTGAATACTGTACATATGGTTTCTTTCTGAGGCATGTGTGAACATCACCTAAAAGCCCAACTGACAGAGAGATAGTCCAGACCTGGTTACTGATTACTGTTAGAGCTGGGGTCTCCAAGGACCTGTTTCAGTGATGCTTAAAATGTTTTCCACAATGGCTAAGGAAGGTCTATTTCAGATTTTTAATGAGGATGGATAAAATTAGAACTGTGTCTCATATATAGGCCTCATGAATCTTGAACAATTGCAGTGGCTGTTTCAGTTGACACATTTTTCAATGACATAAAATGATAATTGCTGAATGCTTTCATATGAGATGGGCTATTGTTTCTCTCACGAGGCTCATATTTCTTATAGTGATTTTTTTTTACTATATGGCTTTTGGCTGTAAGTAATTACTGGAAAACTGTTATATAAAAATGAAGCAGTAAACCTCTTTAATTATTTGAAGGAAAGTTCTTATAGGATGAGCATGTTTTTAGAGAAGCAAACAGCAATCCTAAAAGAAAAAGTGTGACAGTTGGACTCATGGGAGCTATATGTGTGCAAGGCTTTATAACATTTTGCTTCCATGAGTTATATGCTCCAATGGCAATCGGATGGAGACACGTTTTATTCATGAAATTTGTTGTCTGAGTTATAAAGTCTGTACTATTTTTAGTTAATAAAAAAGATAGTTAACAGAGCAAGTATAAGGAGATTATAAGTCTTTAATAAATTATTTAATAAGGCTAAATATATTAAGCAATGCAGCTGTACTCATTTTTTTTGTTACTTGGTCACTTTAAACATGAATTGTCATTTGACTTGAAGATGTATACTGTTAAAACCTAGATGTCTTAAATAATGAAGGTCAGTCCTAGCTGGTTTGGCTCAGTGGATACAGCATCGGCCTGTGGACTGAAGGGTCCTGGGTTCGATTCCCATCAAGGGCACAGCCCAGGTTGCGGACTCGATCCCCAGTAGGGGGCATCAGCTGATCAATGATTCTTATCACTAATGTTTCTAACTCTCTCTCCCTCTCCCTTCCTCTCTGAAATCAATAAAAATATATTTTAAAAAAATGAAGGTTGATGTTGGGTAGAAAAATCATTTTGATATCATCTTCACGGGAAAGAATGGTATACGATAGATTATTTCTGAATTTTCATTCATCCTTAGAGTTTAAATTAGGGTGACTTTTCTGATGAAAAATGCTCTCATTTTATTTTAGATAATATATAAATTTAAAGTCAGTCTAATCAGATTTATTATATAATAAAGAAAGGTTCTGAAGTTTTAGCAAGTTAGATAAGTTAGAGTGAGCTGGACTTTTCAGAATAATATTTATTACATATTATTTTTCTCCACTTTCAAAACAGGCTTACTAACTACAACATGTTCCTTGGATTATGAAATGAAAACTCAGCACGTTCTGACCCTGCTGGCCCTGGATGATGGCGTCCCGGCACTGTCCTCGTCCCAGACTTTGACAGTTTTTGTTCTTGACGTAAATGATGAGGCACCAGTATTTAAGCAGCACCTGTATGAAGCTTCCGTTAAAGAAAACCAAAATCCAGGGGAGTTCGTCACAAGAGTTGAAGCTATGGACAGAGATTCAGGTAATTTAAAATATGGAAACTAAGTAATTAATGCTAAAAACACAAATAGACGTAATTTCAACTAGTTGTGTCCCAGAAAAATGAGACACTTGTGAATCATCTCAGACTTCTTATAGAAAAACCCATCCATGTGTAAAGATAATGTGTGTTTTTATATAGCATTTTCTTATATTTATCTTTATCAATTGATCTTTATAATAGAGTGATGCACACCTAATTAACATAGAAGTTATTGATTTGATCTTGATAATAAGCAGAACTATGACTAGGTATCACCTTTTTTTTCAGAGTATAATGGATACATTGAATACAGGAAGGCAAATGGTTAGTTCCTCTCTATATAACATAATGGGAGAGATAGGATGCTGTCAGACTGCCTGGGTTTGAATCCTAGAACTGCCATTTGCTTAGCTCTGTAACCTTTAACAGGTTACTGATCCTCTCTGTTCCTCTGTTTGCTTATCTGTAAAAATAAGGCCTGGTTTACAGTTATAAGTATGAATGATTATTACATGTAAAGAACAAAGACCAGTGTCTGGCACAATACATAGTTAAGAATGTTAACTTCTATCATTATTATTATTATTATTACTATTATTAATGTCAACCACTGTGTTGAGGAAATGACTTTGAAGTAAACGGTTACTATGGCTAAGAATTTGTAAATTCCTAGAATTTCTTGGAATTACTTTTCTTTTTTGTTGTTGTTAATCCTCACCCGAGGATATCTTTCCATTGATTTTAGGGAGAGTGGAAGAGAGAGGGAAAGACAGAGAGAAACATCGATGTGAAAAAAACACATCGATTGGTTGCCTCCCGCACGCATCCTAATCAGGGTCCTGGCCCGGGAGGAGCCTGCAACCAAGGTATGTGCTCTCGACTGGAATCGAACCCAGGACCATTTGGTCCGCAGGCCGACTCTATCCATTGGGCTGGAATTACTTTTTGATATCACTGACTCTTTGGCATTTAAATTTCAGTAACTTTAATAATATCCTGTTTTTATTTTAAACAAAGTAATTACAAAAATTACAGTGAAGTATTTGCCATTAACAGCATATGCAAAATTTCCCACCTGAATAAATATGAATAGTTTAATAAACCAGCCTCCCGCGATTCACATTTTTATTTAGCAAGTGGCGTTACATAATCAGCATAAATATTTTTTTTCTTTCCTTATAGGACTAACAATAGATGTTTCTATGGAGAAATACTGGTAGTTTTAATAGCTTGTTCCTCCTGTTTCAAAGGGCTAAAAGTTGTATTTCCTTCAGCTTTTAATCTAAATTATATACCATTCAGATGCTTTGCTCTTTAGGAAAACATCGTCTTTTAATGAAATGTATTTTACATGAATTTGGATGTCATGCTGCAAAAACTTTCATTTTAAGGGCTTCCTAATCTCTCTTTTGACCAGAGTGGGGCAGTGTGATCAAACAATTTTTCTTACTGTGCTCTGAGCCGCAGGGGGAGCATGCTAACAATTGCTTGTTCCAACCCGTGCTCAAAAAATGGATTTAGCACATTTCCCACAGTATGGCTTTTAGGGTGATAGAAACAAGAGAGAATATACATAAGCTTTGTATTTTACCATAATTCCGCTTCAGTGAAATTCTTTCAGTGTGTGCTCTGGTATAAATGGAGCAACGCAGGGCTTGGGACACCATAAGGCACTTCCCAAAGTACACAGACGTATGCAAACCTGTCACTGATGTGCGATGGAGCCGTCATTAAAGTCTGTACAATGCTTCCTCCCCTTGACTTGACTTTAGCTTCTTAATTTTATTTTTTTGTAGTGGATTCTACTGAACAGATCTCTTGTGCTTTAAATGTTTGAAGAGGGAGGAAAGAGGTTCTCTCAAATTTGCATATGCCAACTAAAGATGATAACCATAAATATGCTTTCCAATTTTCATTGTCACGTTGCCCAGTATTTGTGTTATTTTCTTTTAGAATCAATAGTCTGCAACCTGTTACTTGAACTGGTTGTTCATTATTCTGGAGATTATGGCTTGCCGGATGGAGAATTCAGATATGAAATTATTGTTTTTCTGGCTCTGCATTTATGGATACTTTAAGTATACATTTAGCGTCTTCATGAGTCTCATGTACCTTCACATGTTTTAGAGACAATTTTGGTTTATTGGAAATGTCAGTGTTTTTAATGAGGCCAGATCTGTTAAGCAAGTGGTTATGTAAATGCATGTGAATTTGTGTATATGTTTGTGATTTTGAACATATTTTCTCTCAATATATTTTTTTGGCTTGTTGTGTTAAAGCAATGAAAAAGGATTATGCAGGAGAATTAAATGACGTAATCAAGATTTTAACATACTGGCATCACATTGGAATTTATGAATGGTTTACTTTATAGTATGTATTTTTAAAAATACTACAGCATGACTTAATACCAGAAAGCTTAACATATGTTTTCTAGCATTCTACAATGTAGTTTTAAAAAATGTCAGCTTAAAGTGTTGGCCTTCAAAACCCATGGGAATTCCAGCACTGAATGTTTATGATGTATGACTCACACTAGTTCTAACAGGAGTTTTTTCTTATATTAAAAGGGAAAAGCAACTACCAGGTTTTAACTAAGATATTAAAACTGCTACAGTATTTGGAGCCACCAACAAGAGCTCCATTGTTAGTGAGAAGAGACCTTCCTGCCTGGGCCCCTCTCCACTGCTGAGAGGAAAGGGTCCCCTCCAGGGAAGATGACTCGCTCCTGGCTGATACCTTTACTTCAAGTGGCAAATATCAAATAACTTAACAGTACATTGCCATGAAGAAGTGTTGAATTCTACAATGAGTTCTTATTGTCTATTCCATAAAAATGTATTCTCTATCGGGTTTACCTTGAATGAACTCCACATCTGGTTTCCTAGACAACATGAGAGAGTGTAAGGAGCACTGATAACCTCACTCACCCAGAGAGAATCGCTGGTGAAGTTGATATAGAGTCGTATTTTATTGAATCCATGGTAGTGTGATTGTATACTGGTAATTGGTTACTGTGTGCCTGCCGATTAGGCTGTGAACTTCTCATGGATTGAGGACACAGTTTAGTCACTTTTATCCCAGGACCCTTACATAGTACAAGCCATGACTTGGGAGCTCAGTAAATATGTTTGGCTGTGTGATCTGAGAAACTGGAGCATCTGTGAAATAAGCTGCTTCAACTTGCCTTCACTCCTCAGAATCCGTTCATTTATTTATCTCTTCATTCAGTCAACCAGGCGTGATCCTGTTTTTGCTTCAGAAATGTCTGAGCTGCATGGCATTGCACAGTTGAGAGATTCTATGAAAAATTATCTTCCTGAGAAAGCATTTCTGAAAAGAGCACACCCCTGGTCAGAATTCTCTATTAATTCCCCACAGTTTTGATGGTAAAGTTCTATTGTTTTTTAGCTTAACAACCAGTCATTTTATGCCATGATTTCAGCTTTCCTCTGTCCTCAACTACTACCACGCTCCCACCCTTTACTCTAGGATAGGGTTCTGCCAACTTTTTTTTTAAACAATTTTACTTTATTATTATTTTTATATATTTTTTGTTGATTTCAGAAAGGAAGGGAGAGAGAGCTAGAAACATCAGTGGTGAGAGAGAATCATTGATTGGCTGCCTCCTACATACCCGCTACTGGGGATCGCGCCTGCAACCCAGGCATGTGCCCTTGACCAGAAATGAACCCGGGATCCTTCAGTCTGCAGGCCAACACTCTATCTACTGAGCCAAACCAGCTAGGGTGGGTTCCGCCACCTTTTCTCTGTAAAGGGGAGATAGTACAGGTTTTAGGCTTTGCAGGCCATGCGGTTTCTGTTACTCAATTCTTTCACTGCAGCAAGACAACAGCAATAGATAATACATAAGGAGGTGAGTATAGCTGTGTTTCAATAAAACTTTTCAAAAGCAGGGGCAGGCTGGATTTGGTCAGTAGGTTGTAGTTTGCCAACTACTGGTCTAATACATGTATCTGGTTAACACATCTAAGTTACTTGCTACTTGCTGCTCATCAGTTCTGATTTTGATGACATCATAGTGGTGACTTAATGTGGTATTCTACTGGATACCAAGATGATCAGAATCTTTGCTAAGTAGGTGATGGATGATAGTGGAAGAGTTTACCCTATAGATGTACTCTGCTGGTTGAAAGCAAATCACTTCTGCTAGTCCTTATAAATCAGACCACTCAACTTGGTCTGATCTTTCCATAGAAGCCTGGTGTTCAACTATGCCTGAGCTGCGTGTACAAAGCCGCAGCTTGTAATTTTATTAAAATTTAATTTCATTGTTTAAAGTAATACAAATAGTAGTACATATGTCTCCTTTTTTCCCCCCATTGACCTCCCCCTGGCCTCGCCTAACCCCCGGCACATGCCCTCACTCCCCACCCCCAGTGTCCTGCATCCATTGGTTATACTTACATGAATGCATACAAGTCCTTTGGTTAATCTCTTACCTCCCCCCACAACCCTCCCTTGCCTTCCCTCCGTAGTTTGACAGTCTGTTCGATGCTTCTTTGCCTCTGTATCGATTTTTGTTCATCAGTTTATAATGTTCTTTATATTCCACAAATGAGTGAGATCATGTGGTATTTATCTTTCACGGACAGGCTTATTTCACTTAGCATAATGCTCTCCAGTTCCATCCATGCTGTTGCAAATGGTAAGAATTTCTTCTTCTTTATAGCAGGGAAAAATTCACCTCCACATCCTCGCCAGCGCTTGTTCTTTGTTGATTTGTTGATGATAGCCATTCTGACACGTGTGAGTTGGTACCTCATTGTCATTTTGATTTGCATCTATCAAGTGATTAATGATTTTGAGCATGTTTTCATATTTCTATTGGCCTTCTGTATGTCCTCTTTCAAAAAGTGTCTATTTAGGTCCTTTGCCCATTTTCTGATTGGTGTTTATTTTCCTTTCGTTAAGTTGTATGAGTTCCCTGTAAATGTTGGAGATTAAACTCTTATTGGTGATAACATTGGCAAATATGT